GGTGCTGAATCTGAAAAAATTATTTTCAGAAGCTGGAAAAAATAGCGAAGTAGAAAATTTTGTATATTTCGAAAAAGATGTGTTTTTCTCGAAAAACGACACCTTTCGAGTATTTCGTATTTTTCGATTGGAAGGAAGTATTTGCTAAGGCTAAACAGTAGTTTTTCGTGATCAGCAGCTCAAGCTCTATCAAATGATGTAAAAAAACTCGAAAAAAAACTTTTTACTGAAAATTCGCATTGCCTGCACCTTAGAAGGAACGATAAATAATGAAAGAAATAATAATCAATTAATAACAAATTTATTAGTAGTTGATACTAGTTTACGTGGAAATGCATATCAAAATGAAATTGAAACTATAGCTACAAGAATAGTAAATCCTCAAAATAATAAGTTTTTAAATGTAGTTGGTTCATATGCCAAAGGTATATCAAATCAACTAACAAAAGGTGTTAGTGGAAATGCATTAAAAATATTTACCGCTGGAAAATGCCTTGTAGATTTAACAACATTTTTGACAAGATTTTCTTAATGAATTTAAACGCAATTTAAATAAATTAAATGGAAAACTTAAAATCGATTATTTACTTCTAAACATACTGTTAGCAAGTGCGTGAAAATCCACATGAGAAACAATTACTGGATGACAAAATAGACGATTGCTTCTGCTGATTTTAATTGATTTTCTAACTGTTCTAGTCATCATCTCTGAGTGACATTTATTATATTTTGCGTTGTTTGCCGTAAATCTCTTCTCTAAATTTCTTTATGACGTAACAGGCTTAAAGAAAGGAAAATTGCGCATAAAATGAGCTATTTTTCCAGTTGTATGCTTATAAAACAGCTGAATTACACATACTATCTTTTTCTCATCACTTTTCGCCAAAGATATGAAACAGGTGTTTTTTTCCCTCTTGTCGACAGTTGATGTTTGTTTTGATAGCTTGCTTTAAGGCCAACCCCCCAAGCAATGATGGTTCTGGGACATAAAAAATTCGATTTTGAGATAAGCACATGGAAAGATAGCCTGAAGTGTCTACTTTCAGAATCTGCATCGCTTTCGGTCCTAGACGTGATTTTTCATGGCTTTCGAGCAAGTTTTCTAGACGCCTAGAAAAACAAGTTCTTCAAATAGTAGCTTTTTCCTGGTATGTAATTAAATTTTTTTCTAAACGCGTAGATTTGTAGAGCAAACTTTTTTGATCAAAATAATATAATATGTTGAACCACTCTGTATGTCCTGGCGTGAAAAAGTTACAGGTATTTTCCTACAAGTCCTAAAACTGAGTATTTTATACAATATTTAGCACAGCATTTTCGCTACACATCTGGAATATTTTCCAAGAATTTTTAATATACTTCATGGAGCAAAGAAAAAGTGGAAAAAAAGTACACGAACGAGGAGGGTGAGATTGATTTTTCGAAAAAACAACTGTGGAATACAATTGATTGAAAAATTTTAGCTTTTTTATCCATTTTTCAAAAAACGAACTTGTATTTGAGGATGAGAATGAATACTTCGTTTCTTTTTCTCATTTTTCGAGGAGAAAAACGTACAAACAGCAATGTAAGCTCAACGTTTGTCATAGAATAATTAAGAATAATGGAAAAAGATTCGAAACCGGTCTTTAACGAGTTTACTATATATTATTTTACCATAGTTTTTATTATAAAGTTCTTGTTTTTGTTCATATGAAAACTTCATTTGTTTCGTTTATTCTTGTTCATCGATTTATTTTCAGTTTTTTTTATCGTATAAAAAGTGTTTTGTTCTCTGTTTTTCGTTCATTAGAAACCTACTGTTTTTTCGTCGATTTTTCTTTGTTCTTCATGTGTGTTCATAGGATACGTCTTTAAAATCAACTTGACAATGCCTTCAAATTGTGATGGCTTATCCAGATGTAGCAAAACCATCGTCATTTTTCATCAGTCACATTTTGAAGTTTTCGATGAGAACTCACACGCAATGTCTAGCGAAATACAAGATGAAAACGCTTTCAGTTGACTTGGAAACTTCATTCAATTAGGCGCACGAATACGCCATTTTTCGTTTTGGGAAGATTGCACCATGCTCTGTCGTCTAATTTTCACACAGTATACATTTATTAAACGTCTTCACGTCCTAGCATAAATCAGCGCGAACCAGGTAAGGCGGAATCTTATTTATGCTTTACGTGGTAGTTCTCATTCAGTTATCGCCAATTCTTTGAGTGAAATATAAGAAAATAATCGAAGAACTGCTATTTTTGGAGACATAGAGAAATACACCATATAGAGCAAAAACCATTTGACCACAGTTAGTATTCGGAGAAATTAATCGCACGCTGGAAGAAAAACCGTTGCGAACGCATTTTCTCACGGAAGAAAGTCGGTACAACAAGCGATCACTTTAAGCGTAATCAGGGCACACATTTTTTTATTTTGACGCACTAAACTTCGGTCATTTCGGAAACTAAAGTAGCCAGAAAGTTCTTTCAAACGTCAATCTACGCAGTGCATTATGTTCTACTTATGCTGTAAAAACGAAGTTTTTTAGATGTTACATTGGGCTTTGAGAAGGATTTTAGTATTGCGTCACGGCGTTACGAAAAAAGACCCTTTTTTAAGAGTGCTGCTACGAAAATCCTGATCTGCTGCGAAAGTAGTTCTCCAAACGGAACATTCCTTGAGCCGATCTTGTAGAGCAGTTCACGGGCTTTCTAATGGTAAAAAATGTTTCACCTAGGTTATTAGATTTGCCTGAAAACACAAAATCTAAGCGTCAGAGCGTTACGTTTTTCATCACGACGTTACGCACTTTTTTTGTCAAGCATATTTGAAGCACTTAACACGATGGTAAAGTTTTGATTTTCACAACTTCCCGTGTTCTTTGTATACTTGACCGATCTGCGCAAAATCAAGTTGCTGTATCAGAATAAGAGCTCAAAAACTGGAAAGTAAGTCGGAAATTGTACAACTACGTACAATTGTATATAGCAGGTAAACTTAAAAACAAATACGCCATTTTGTAATTCTCTACAAAGAGATAGTTTTAGAAATTTGTTTTAACAAATGTTTTGGGTTAAAACATTAAAAAACCGGTTTTCGAAAAGTTCAAAACCAGGTTTTTTGGATGAAAAATGAACTTTTCTGAAAAGCGAGTTTCAAATGGGTTCTTAGAATAAAAGACTGAACTCTTGACTCAAATTGTGATTTTTTATTATGTAAGTAAACAGCACCTTTTACAACACATATAATTTATGTTAATTTTTTAGAATTTTGATAGAAATTTGCATTATAATACGCGGACCGTCTTTTCACATCACTTTCATTCCAATGATTAATTGGCTTACCAATTGAATAAAATTGAGAATCATGATTATATGCTAATATTATATTTCGACATTTTTATTCAACACTTTCGATTGCAGCATTTAATTTCTTATTATCTTTGCTATCATTATTCCTATAAACAAATAAATATGTGTCATTTTTCAGTAAAAATTCAATAAAATAGCTGAGTTAGGCATGCACCGGTTTCGATTTTAACCGATTAACCGAAAATGTTGCACAAGTTCTTAAAAATACGTTTGACACAATATGAAGGAAGCATCTGTTGTTCAATCAACAACTGTTCATTCCGGAAGAAAGATGCACGGTGTACAAAATCAGAAATAAGCCAAATTACAAATCTATCTTCACGATGAAAAGCAGTAAATATTAGTTTTCATCGTGAAGATAGATTTGTATAAAGATGCACCCAGCAAATAAAATCTGGAAATTTAAGTTTGCCATACATTTGTTGCCAAACTCAATTTTGGGAAACTCTTCCTTTACGGTGAAAAGTCAGAAACACCACTTATTTGGCTTATTTCTGCTTTTTGTACACTGTGCATCTTTCTTCCAGGATGAACAACAGATGCTTCCTTCGTACTATGTCAAACGTATTTTCAAGAACTTATGCAACATTTTCGGTTATGATCGGTTTTGGTTAGCCGAAACTGGTGCATGCCTATGCACGATTATTGTCGTAAACAGAGCCCGTCCAAAAATATTTTCATAAACTGACCTAATTGTTTTATCAAGTCGCTACTTTCGATACAGTTTTTATTTGTGCGAAAGCAAATTAGAAGCTCACACGTTTAGGTGTTATGATATTCGAGATCCTCTGTCTAATGACGTTTTCAAAGTTTTATGAAAATGTTTCATTTCGATACATGTTCAATCTTAGTATATTCTATTTTTCAACTCTTAATTTTTTATACTTAGAAGAAAAAGCTTCATGTAAAACAAAGATATCTAAGCTATGAGAAAGAATTCAGATTAGTACAAGTGTAGTTAGATGACAGACAACATGTCTGCTTTTGTCGCCTTTTTTTGCAGTATTTTCTGAAATATTTTCAGGTTTGTTTACGCGTTTGATTAGAGATAAATCTCGCGAAGCTAGATTTAAAAAAGACTATTTGATTATTTGATTTCAACAAAAAACTGCCTTAGTTATGAATCATAGATAGAACTACAGTTATTCATACACTCCGAATAGGGATCAGACATATTCACATGTTTAATCTTTACATCGAACAAGAAGCCTAACGCAATAGAACGAAACTTTTTCCATTCTGTTTATTTTGATCACAAAAAATGGCTTTTTCCTACACTTTATTTACTTCCTTCGAAAAAACTTGTTGTCTTCCGACAATGGCTAAAATTTCCATGGGTGACTCCAAAATATAGTGCAGGTTGCTGGAACACAGATCACTGCATGAGAACGAGACCATAAGTTGATTTTGTTTTAAATCATAGAAAAATGTTGGGTCTATTGATGTCATAAATTTAAGCTCTTTATCTTATATGGTTGTCGAGATCTGAGCAACACAAAGTTATCAATATGCGATATTTCAGGTTTTTCAAAAGTGAGTCAAAATTTTGAAATGCTCACTTCTCAGCAACTAAGTAATGTTTTTTCAAACGGTAAACGCTGTTTTACACAGAAACTTTTATATTATTTTTATGACTGATTTGAACGAGTTCTGTGACATACATTTGGGTACTATCTATCGTCATGTATGTGAAAGTCTGTTAAGTATACAGCAAAAATCACGACTATTGAAATGTCGTGTATTGCAAAACTGAAGCAAAATAAGTATTTTTATCTCTTCTATCGTAAGGTTTTCGAACGTGAAGTAAGCTTTTATTTTCTAACATAACACATTCTTTTTACTTTCATTACGAACGAAAAGGTAAGTATCAAGCTTCTATAACAGAAAAGTATATAAAAGCACGTGCGCAAAAAAGGTGATATAAGATATAAAATTACGTTGAAGAAATATTGGATACTTCACAAGATTTGACAAGACTTTTGCTATAAATAAAAACCTAGTAATTAGCTTTTTTGCATTGATTTAATTACATTTTGTGATTGATCTAGTAATTCTATTCTAAGATAACTATCAGCGGATTTCTCACTCTAAAATATTTTGAAAAAGATAAGGTACAAATAATTTTTCAATATTAACTTTCCAACACGAGACTATGGTAGAGATTTCATTAGATGTAAAGAATGATTATATCTATTCGATTGTTTTGCCTACTTATCATTTGAGAGATCCTACTCCCAAATATCCCGCATATAGCCGTTGTACTGCATATTATGATCAATTTTTCATATTCGATAGATATACCATGGAAGAAACGTTGGATGAAATCGACGGTAAGTTTCGATCTGGAAAACATACAGAAGCAATTACCGAAACGCAGGAATTCATTGAGAAGATTCAGACTGAAGAATCTGCGAAACCTCTACTTTATAACGCATTCAATCATCTTGGAAGATATTTGAATTTTATGGGAAAACATGTTGAGGCAGTTCAAGCTTGGGAGGATGGTTTGAAAGTTCTGGAAGACAGTGGATTGGACGGTGATAAATTGATCGATTGGATTAATACTTCAATTCAAGCAGCTCGGATCACTCATCGACAAGGTAAAAACCAGGAGATCTCTTGGTTGATTACATAAACCTTTCGAAACTTTTTTAATTGAAGGCAAGGACGGATCAGGGGTAACGTACAAAAATCATAGTGTAAGGTATACTTCTTCAAAGATGACTACAGAGGAAGAAAACAAATGGAAGAGAGAAAGATTTGAAAAGGCTATAAAGCATTTTAAAGGAGCCCTGGATAAGTTTCCTTCACATCAAATGGAAGTAAAGATGACTATTCAAATGGAATTGGCGAGTACTTTGTTCGATTCGAAACGTTACGATGAAGCAATCGAGATCTATGAAGATGCTTTCTACGTAAGTAATTGGTCGTTGTCTGTGTAAGCTTCCTTGCTCTCCTACTGTCAGTCAGAGTGTTATAGGGTACCATACCATCAACTAGTAGATACCACCCTGGGCGCTTTACACGAACAGGCATCGCTTTTAAAAAGAGATTACAAACTTTCAACAATGCTGATTTGACTAGGATCGAAAAACTTTTGCAAATACATCACAATCTTGTAAAAATAAAATAATATATGACTAGAGAGGTAGTTATCCTCTTCTTGTACAAGACCATTTTGGGTGAGCAATGGTCGTTGTTAGGTCTTAAATAAGTGGGTTTCAAATTTAATATTAGCTTCTCAAAAGGTTGCTTTGCTCCAGACTTGATTAGATTGGAAGAAGAAAAAATATCCCGCATTTCGGTGCGTAGGGTGTTGATAAATGGTGGTTAATTGCCCGATATCTCCCGTGCAATTGACAAGTAGTTAGCAACCACACTTCTAGATAGAAGACTAGACTGGCATAGAGATCTTTTCATCAAATTATTTAAGCTTCCCATACACACTAGGTGACCACGTGCAACCTTTTTCGAAAAGCTGCGGAAATTTGTCAGAGAAACCGTATTCCACTTCATAATGCAGTGATGCTGTTGAACAGATAATCCGAGACACTAAGACATTAGTAACTCGCCCAAGATTGTTACTTGATCTCGAACACCGTGCGTTTGAAGTACGTGACTAATAACGTAACGTTTTCAAAGACATACCCTTGAGAAGAGCATCAACAGAAGTGCTATTCCACCGATCCGAGACGTATTTTCCAGTATATCGGCTTTTACAAATAAGTATGTAAGAACAAACACGCTGATAGATTGACAGAAAAATTTGCTACTTTTTACAGCTGGAACCAAATTTTCATACCAAATTTAGCCAGATAAAAAGTTAGTTTGCAAATTTTCTGACTTACTGCCTTAGCACTTTAACTTTTTGCTGCTTCCAAAGAAAAAACTCATTGCAGAAAACTGCAGTTTAATCCGGAGCACCCGTTATCTACAAGTAAAACTGCAGTTTAATCCGGAGCACCCGTTATCTACAAGTAAAACTGCAGTTTAATCCGGAGCACCCGTTATCTACAAGTAAAACTGCATCAGTGGATGTACCATATGCTTATCGACTCTTCGGTATGCTCCCAACTCCCTCAATACCACTTAACGATAGGCACTACCCTAGTCATTTAGTATTTTGAAGAGTACATGTCATTAAGCACAACGACCGTTTTAACGATTTATTTTTTAATCTAGTTCGAGCTGTGTGTAAACACTGGTTGTAGATGAAACTTTGAAAATTTTATTACCACACAAACTTTCGCTTGAGCCTTTATTGTTCTAACACCATATGTCTGGCATAGGTGGAAGTCATACAGAAGTTGATCAACCTTGTTTTTATTAAACAAAAATAGAATGACAAGAATCCATCATGGCTCTGCAAAGTTGCTGACTGTTTATGGCAACAAGAACGAAAAGAAGAAGCTTATCAAAGGCTTCAACAACTTATCTCTATCAAGCCAAACTTTGCTAAGGCTTACGAGCTGCGTGCTACCTATTTCAAAGAAAGAAACAACGACACTAACGCCGAAGAGTCCATGAAAAAATTCAAGTTTTACTCTTGGATCCCTGACTTTTGTCACTATATTGAATATGACGTCGAAAATGTTGCTGTTTTCGAGGCGTTAACATCAGACAATGCCTTGAAATGCGTTGAGACTACTCTCACTGAAGACACATCCAAACGGGCAACAGAGTTTTTAGCTGCCATTTGCTATCATCATTATCATGGAGCGCCAGAAAAT